GTCGATCCTAGATAATGCTCCTCATCTGTCTGTGTAGCTGTCTGTAAGCTCGTCTCGTGTCCTGTCGATCGTATATGTCTCTGTCTGTGATAGCCTGTTTGTCTGTCCCCTGTAAGAATGATCTCTCATGCCTTTCCGACTCTGTATGTCTCTCTGTCTGTGTACTGTCTGTAAGATGTCCTCCTGTCCTGTCCGATCTGTATGTCTCCCTCTGTCTGTGTAAGCTGTCTGTAAGCTGTGCTCTCTGTCCTGTGCGATCTGTATGATCTCTGCTGTCTGTGTAGCCTGTCCTGTAAAGCTCTGTCCTCCTGTCTGTCGAATCTGTATGTCTCTCCTGTGTGTGTAGCTGTTTTGTCTGTCCTGTACAGACCTATCTCTCTGTCTGTCTATCTGTCTGTGTAGCTGTCTGTAAGCTCTCTCTCCTGTCCTGTCGATCTGTATGTCTCTTTCTGTGTAGCTGTTTGTCTGTCCCTGTAAGATGTCTGCTCTGTCTTGTCGATCTGTCTGTGTAGGCTATCTGTAAGCCTGTCTCTCTGTCTTCCGATCTGTATGTCTCTCTGTCTGTGTAGCTGTCCCTGTAAGCTGCTGTCTCTGTCCTGTCAATCTGTATGTCCTCTCTGTCTGTGTAGCTGTTTGTCTGTCTGTAAGCCTGTCTGCTCTGTATGTCTCTCTGTCTGTGTAGCTGTCTGTAAGGCTCTGTCGTCTGTCTGTCCGATCTGTATGTCTCTCTTTTGCTGTGTAGCTGTTTGTCTGTCTGTAAGCTGTCTTTCTGTCGATCTGTATGTCTCTGCCCCTGTGTAGGCTCTTTTGACTTTATGTGTTTAAACAAATGTATTGGTTGAGAAGAGTTTAATACTACTTTATTTTTACAATTAAAATGACTGCTTGCCCATAATGCTGTGTCGCTGTCAGGTTTGGTTGTATGTATGTATAATTTGGAGGGTTGTGGGAGGGCTTATATCCGTCCCTTTAAAGAGCCCTATAATGTTTTTTGGTCCCTTATAAGTTCACACTTTTGTCAAAAGACAAATGTCTGTGTATACCACAATATTAAGTAGGTGGTGTGTGTAACCGTTCTAAACGGGTGTATCAGCTATCTAAAGTGAGCGCTGATTTTTTTTCAGATTTTTTAGAGTAACTTGACCCAACTCCGCATAAGCTGTAGGATCAGGAAAGGGTAGCCCATCTAAACACGCACCGGGCCCAGTTTAGGGGAAAGTTGGCTATTAGCATAACAAAAAAAAAAAAAACCTGTATGTGGTGTGTGTGTGTGTGTGTGTGTGTGTTGTATAAAAGGTCCAGTGTTTATACCATAGCTCCTTATAGAAATAAGGTAATTTGTTTGGCTAGTGTGTGTGTGTATAAAAGGTCCAGTTATAGCCAGATGTCGCTTATAAACTAAGGTATTGTTAAGGGTAGTGTGTGTGTGTCGTGTGTGTGTGTGTTATAAAACGGCCGCAGTCATACTAGATTTCCTCATAATTTTGGTTTTTTTTAAAGAATTATAACCATCTATCGGCCCTTTTGAGCTCCCATCAATAACAATGGCCTCTGTGTTTGTGTGTGTGCATAGGTGGAACTTCCGAAATACGTGGTGCAGGATGAGTCCTAAAACCAGGAAGTGAGTCAGCATTTCACCACTTCCTGTTCCCTCGCCTCAGAGCCAATGGGATCTCTCCATAGGATTTGGGAAAATATCTGAAATAAGGTCTGTGGTTGAGAAACATTGAAGAGACGGATCACGTTTTGTTCTACGACATTAAATCCATCAGCAGTGACCCCACTGGTGATTTCTGAAGAGTTAACGTGTCTGAAAAACGATGGTTGTTACCAAGTGGCTGAATAGGACTACAGAAGTCGTGGAGGACGTTGTACGTCATTACAACGAACACGTAAACACTCCTCTAAGTTAGTTTGCCCTGTTCTGCTTTAAAGCAAGTACCTGCTTCCTGCAAACTGTTCAAAAAAACGCTTCAACTCGTTCCATTTAGAATCTGTATGTTTGAATATGGATCTTAAGTTGGCGAGACGTGGAAGCAGCGACCCTGCTGTAGTTAGTTTATAGCAGGGGCCTGCAACCTTTTTGATATGAAGTGCCATTTAAAAAAAAAATTGTTATCAGCGTGCCCACGATCGAGAATTATCAACTGGGGGGTTGAGGAGCATGACGCTCGTTCAACTATCAGCAGGAGGGCGGGGGAGCCTCGCAGTGTGTGGACCTGTCAGCGCAACTTATAAGATGACGAATTTAACAGGAGAATTTAAATAATTGGTTTAAAAGGCATAATGATAAGAACTATCGTCCGTTCTGTGATTCTCCAGAACACACATGTTATGATATTAGGGTCATGCAGAGTGAGATGAGATCGCTGTCCCTTTAAGAGGGAGAGAGAGAGAGGGGTGTGGCTTGTGCATGTGTGTTTGTGGATGGTAGAGCGACAGTGAGCGAGCGTGTGTATGTTTCTGGAAGAGAAACGGGGAAGCAGAAAAACAGAGGTCTGGGATGTATTTTGTGAAACAGAAGAACAGCTAAATAAATGCAACGGCCTCCCAAGAAGAGCTCGCCTCTCTCCAGTCATTTAAGCTAAAGTGGGTTATTGAACCTGAAGCCTGTTGCTTCTGCCCTCCTCGACTACGGTCTGGGAGCCGACAGGAAAGTTCAACACACAGATGGCCAGTCCGCCCCTTTGTAGCATATTATTTCGATGACAGATGAGCAGATCGCCACTGGGCTTTCAACTAAATACACAGCCACGCAAAAACTGCGGCATTTGTACAGCTCCTTATGAGTACTGCAATTAGTGAAGTGCTTTCCTCCGTGGTGAAACGATCAGCACTGCACCACGGAGGAAAGCGGCAGAAAGTCACCTGGAGATAAATAGAGCGGGGCTGCGTTGCGTGCATGGCTTCCTTCTGCAGGTAACGGGGAGACGCGCTCTGGCGGCGGTCTCGTTCAGGATCCGAAAACACAATTTAAATATTTTTACACACTTATTCCACTTATTCCTAGTGTGCCACTGGTTACGGTGCACGCGTGCCAGGGGTTGCCGACCCCTGACTTAACTTATGAGGCAATAAACCTGTGTGTGAGAAGGTTTGGACCCCCCTGCTCTAAAGTGACATCAAGTCCATGAGATGGGCCAGAACCTGAGCCTCACTTCTGACTTCCTTCCTCTTTCGATGTGTCCTGCTCACTGTGTGTTCATTGTGTTTCTCTAGTGGGATGGGCAACTCCTAAAGCGTCTAGGCTGCCAAAACTAGAGCCCCTCGGAGACTCCAGACATTCTGGTAAAGGCGCCGGTGATGTCCGCTCGTTCTTCACCCCTCACCGCTAACCAACCATTACTCTCCCTTTTTACTAACCCCGTAATAAAGTCATCAGTTTGAGGAGTGTGTGTGTGGTGGTTGTGTACGAAGGAAACCCTGACGATGTGTGTGGACTTTAAATAAGCATGTCTTTCTCTCTCTCGTGTGTGTGTGTGTGTGTGTGTGTGTGTGTGTGTGTGTGTGTGTGTGTGTGTGTGTGTGTGTGTGTGTGTGTGTGTGTGTGTGTGTGTGTGTGTGTTCGACAAAGACTTATTGTTTCTGTGTTTTCTCCACATCCCCTCTAACGTCCTCCATCTTGCTTTCCGTGTTATAGCGAGATCTCTAATGGATTTCTATTTCAGGACTTTTCGATGGATGTAGTTTTCTAACGTAGTCAAATCCTTTTTCCCCTCCTCCCTCCTTTCACAGAATTTCACAAGAAGCCTCTGCCTCCTCTCGCCAAGCGGCCGAACGGCGACTCTCACGACATCGTTTTTTAGACTTCCTGTTACCGATTGAGCTCGTCCAATCATGGCTCTCTCTCCCTCCTTTCTTTTTGTTTGCTTTCTGTCTCAAGCGAGCGCCGTGTAGACGCCACACTCAGAGACTCCTGAGGCGCCGAAGACTACGAAACCCAGGAGCATCATGGGAAATGAAGTGCTGATGGGAAGCAGCTTCACAAACGGACACGATTGAGTGACGGTGCTTTCTTTAGACTGACATTTTCTACTGTTATCAGTGTTAGACGGTACGTGTGTCCCACAGAAAGGCTTTGAACTGACTCAGAATGTAAATATGTCCACTATAACCTTATATATGTGTATGTCTGTTTCTGAATAATGGATTTGTACACACACGCCGCCATTAAACAATGACCATATATGTTCATTTTGCACCTTCGGTTTTGTAGTGTAGACAAAAGGTGTTTTGATATCTCGGAGGTCTTAAGTGGCTTTTCACAGCTCAGTGCTTTAAATCTGATCTTTTTTCACGGTGGGAACAGTTTCCCTTTTTACAAAACAAGCAGACGTGTGTGTGTGGTTCGCCGCACTTCGCTGTACTGTACATGGAGAAATAAATACACTACATTATTATTGTTGTTAAAGGGTCAATTTTAGATATGAATGTTTTGACATTTCACGTTTTGTCTCATAAGGGATTTGTATTTATTGTTTAAAATGTAAACATATATTTGTCTTTATTTGTCTACAGGGCTACAGATTGTTTACACTGTGTATCTGCTTTTTAAAGTGACATTTCTCTCGAGGCAGACTCCCCAAAGACGTGAGCCTGCTGCTGTTTTTGTTCCAGCTTTTCCCGCACCCATTTTCACTTTGATAAAAAGCTGAAAATAGCAAAATAAAAGAAATCATCTCAATAAGCACAAATCAGGATTAAAGAACTTGGAAAGCCAACATTGCCCCAGTTTAGAGTTTGCAGGAAGGGAGGAGAACATTTCTTCACCTGGAACTGCCAATACTGGGTCAGAACACATGAGAATATGTGCAGAAAAAGGAAAGAAATATCACTTTAAAAACATTGAGTACTGTATTTCAGATCCACATCACAGCACTCACTCTCTGTTAATGAGCTAGATGTTTGAAGAAATATTTTTTCTACGCAGTTTGGATTTTATAACCGCACAATAAAATATGTTTTTCCGTATTTATTTCTCGACTGATTGTTTGTTTTCTACGTCATGAGCAGCTGGATTGGAAGTGTTTGTTTTTGGTTCATCACACAGCACCTGCTGAGCGAACACCTGCGTGCTGATGGTTTATTCAGTATTTCTGCAGCTTGAAATGATAAAATTAGGATTATTGTTATGACTGAACGGTGTCACTGTCAGAAAAGCTGATCTAGCGGGAAAAATAGAGATATTTGGGATGTTTTAAGGGGAAATTAAGTAAATATTAGGCATTTGTATTAAAAAGCAATCTTCCAGTCATAGTGTAGCAACCACACACAACAGATTAAACTGATTGGTTTGAATTTAAATCATATTTTTGCTATTAACCTTAAAATAATAATACATTCTACTTTAATGGGACTTTTTGAAAGCATATTACAAAATTATTCAAAAAAGCATAATAAAAACGTAAGATGAAAGCATTATAAAAAGAGCGTAAAAATTAGATAATATATTAAAAATAATACAATTATAATTTGTTGTTGGACAAAGCAAGGAATTGCCGTCTTTTGATTCTTTTTTTGGGGGAAATGTCGCAGTCACGTTGCCTGACTTATTACAACAGCAAACCCAATGAACTCACAGTATTAACAAACACACTCATTTCCAGTCCGGTCACAGAGTACAGTAATGATTTGTCACAAATACAAATGAAACAGCCCAGGGGTAAAGCATTTTTCAACGTGCTTGTAATAAAACAAGCAAAGCTGCATGCTTAAATGAGTCTGGAGAAAATTAACACCTGTAACAAAATGATGGATTATGTGAAAATGTGTCTTAGAAAGAAGCTGAGATTGAACCCGCAAAGTAATTACACATCTTCAGAGTACAGAGACATATCTGCCAGGACTTTATTAGGACTAAAATCAGGAAATGTATCTCCAGAGAGAGGTTGTAATGATTTTGTATAATTGTAAACAGTACGTGACAGGTTTAGAAATGAGCTTTCCTTTCCGAATAAAAATCCACCGCTCCTCATTTAGATATTGTCAAACATCTGCTCGCAGCTCCTACAGGCCATGTCACCGGCATCCAGGACATTGCAATAATGTGTCGTCTCATTACTGCGCTCCCTGTTGTCGATATACAGACAGGCTTCATTTAGGTGAGTGATGTCATGATGTCGAACCCTGCAGGACATCGAGGAGCAGCAGATGCACCGCTGCCCTTAAGCAGATGCTTTCAAACCATCAATCCGCCGCTCATTATGCACACACTCCTCCGGATCAATCTGTTACGTCGAGTCCATTCCAGGAGCCATTCTGTGATGAAGTGTTGTAATTTATACGTTTCTACCGCCAACCCCGAGTCTGCATCTGTTTCAGTTACTCAGATAACCCAGAATGCCTTTCAGGAAAGGTCTGCAGAGAGAAAGAGGGGAAGTTTTCATGTCACGGAAAAGTCAGCGTCATTATGTGGCTTATACAATTGTTAAAAATGGCCCCAAGCATGAGGAAGCTGCAGAATTACAAGAAGATGTGGCATTGCATTTTAGTCTCTCTCAGTGGAGGAAATGGTCTCTTCTACAATGGATGTGTCCTTTTGCAAATGTAGGTGCAGAGGGAACATGTGCTACTATCAAACTATATCATTACTTGATCCTTTTACTTGATCCTGGTCACATTTTGATCGACGTTTTGATTGGCTAGTTGTAGAAAAGTTGCCTGATTCTATAGATTTTCATGCAGACCGATAAAAGAGTCTGATAAGAACAGTTTTTGGGGGACTTCCTGTGCGCCAGACTAGATGTACCACGTGATCACCTATTATCCTCTGATGCTTCATAACTTCAGGTAAAACTTCTTGAACGTGCAATTATTCGTCTGATATTTAGAGTTAGTGCATTGGAAACCACTGAAGATCCTAGTCCTCTCATAGTTCCCCATGACAAGGGGTCAAATAATACCCAGTAATAAAGCGATCCCGCTAACAAGCATTATTTGTGCAGCCAGAGCCACTTCACCTGCTCTATGGTCTACTTTGTTTTCACATTTCACTGTGTGGCTCTACCTCTACCATCTCAAACAGTTAAATACTGCTTAAGCATTGAAGCATCAGAACTAACAACCTTTTTTTAATGAAGCATTTTAAATAAAAAGTAAAAAAAGACAAATTTCTGTCTTTTGCATGCAAGCTTTAGACAACATGTTATTTTGTATTTCTTAACATGCCGACATATATCCCTCATAAGTGCACAAAGAATTCCTGTTATGTATTCAGGAAGGCTAGTGAAAACATCAGGTGTGTGTGTGTGTGTGTGTGTGTGTGTGTGTGTGTGTGTGTGTGTGTGTGTGTGTGTGTATGTGTGTGTGTGTTATCTAGAACAATCATTAAATCTCCATTATGCCGTTTAAAAAATGCCCGTGATGAGCTCTGTGTCCACAGAACCCAACCTGTCATGACACCCCGAGGCTCAAATAAAGAGCTAATAATGAACACGTGGCGTTCTGGCTGGTGGTGTGTGCATCTGTCTTTAAAATGAGGTAGAAAAGGTAATGGGTAATTGAGTGTGCTTGTGCGCTGGAGGGGGTTACGCAGCAGTAGACTGAGCCTACGGGGAGTCACTGCAGACGTGTATTACTGCCTGCAGAGGGCAATGCAGCTCCAATAAAACCCCGTGGAGATGAATGGCTCACAGAGTTGGGAACATTTGGATATTATTGACAACCCTGAGACTTCTATTCATCTGTCCTGAGTTAATGGATGTTTCCAAGTCTGGCCGGTTGACAAAGAAGGCACAAAATGTAGAGGCTAAATCCCCTTTCTCCAGCCACTCAGAAGCTGCAGGGTGGTTTTAAATAAACGCCTTTAATGAAAGCCGTGTAATGTCTCATTATGTAACTAAAGAGGGTGGGAAAGGAGGAAGTCAAAGAAGCGTCGGAGCAGATGCTAAATGTAATGTTGTTGCATACAGAATTATTCATGCAGAGGTCATTCCCTCAGATTCAAACAAACATACCCTGTTTACTGTCACACAGCACACAACAAGAAGTAGTAGGAAAACATTGGAGTATCTTTTCTATAGTGCACTTATTTGGTTTCCCTTTGTGACTCATCTGTTGGCCTTCAGCAGCTGATGGAGTTTGCTCAGTTGTGCTTGGAGGCATTATTTGTTATCGTGTGAAATGTTGTCAACACTGGGATTTTTGCATCGTCAATAGTCGCTCCCTAAGCTAGGACACACCGTCTTAAAATATCACATTTCCTTTGACATATTTAATCTGCAGTTAAGTCCCAGTTGAAGTCTGTTAGTCGAGTTATCTCTCTTTGAAAACTCACATCAGAGAACCGATTCCTGGACTTTCTTTCATGCCTTTTGACAAGTGCTGCTAATTGCAATCAATGCGACCCATCTTCTTGGAGTGATGCAATGCAGATTGAGTAATGTGAAAGTCTGTGTTATGTGGTGAATCCCTCAAGAGGCTTTATCAGCTGCTAAACTGTTTGATTTCATATCATAGGCCTACTGGTTGCAGCATCTCAAAGTTTTAGATGTGCTGTGCTCCGATTAGCCTATGGGATAACATTTCTGACATTTATATACCTAACAATTGAAGAGTCATCATCACATCGTCGTTAAAGCGATATAAAATATATATTTCCCCCACTTACAGTGAATTGAATGGACAAACGGCCCCTGCTGCTAACTAGGTAGCAAGTGCTGGCACATGAGATTCACGATTGATTCCCACAAAAGCAATTTGGACGTGTTGGTGAAGATGAATTCAGTTAATGTAAATGAAGAAACCGCCCTGCGAAGCACTTGAGCCGAAGCCCTTGGCTATCTAGTGTCCTTATCTGCAAATGTACTCGGCTCGGCTGTGCTAATGGCAAACCTATTTCCGTGTCACATCACATTGCATTTCTGACCCGAGTACTCATCGAAAACAATGGGCTGTTTGCCACAAGCACTCAATTCATTGCCAACAACATCTCGGTATCAGCACACGTGATAGGGACACAATGCACGCCTTGATTAAGGTCGGGGAAATAAAAAAAGTAAAGGTTAGCAAATGGGAGAAAGGGATGCAGAGAGGCAGTACAAAAAAGGGAGATTAGGGGCGAGAAAGGCAATGAGAGATGGGAGGGAGAATAAGAAAAGCAGATAAGGGATAATGAGGTGTTCCCAGGAAGAGTGATAGAGAATGGAAAGGAAAAAGCGCAAATGATGGGTGAATTGTGGAAGAGATAAAGGTGGAGAAGCAGCGGAGGGAGGTGGGGGTCTTCTGGCTCAGCAAAACTGAGGCTAAGAGTGTTAGCGGCGCCACACTGAGAGGGTAACAGGATGGAGAAGATAGATGAAGCCATCGGTCTCTGAGTGACAGGGTGCTCTGAGGGCAACATGTGACACAATGTGGGAACAACAGCACAGAAAATAGCCGTGTTTGTTTGTAGAAATTGTAAAAAAAAAAGCATGCATTGCAGTGCTAAATGCGACAGATGATTGACACGTGTCTCATAGCTGCAAGACAATAATAATGGCATCTGTTGGCCTTCAGCAGCTGATGCAGTTTGCTCAGTTGTGCTTGGATGCATTATTTGTTATCATGTGAAATGTTGTCAACACTGGGAGTCGTGCATCGTCAATAGCCCCTCCCTAAGCTAGGAGACACGGTCCTAAAATATCACACTACGCACTATTTCCTTTGACATATTTAATCTGCAGTTAATATAGTTGGATCAGTGTTTCTCAAACTTTTTCATACCAAGGACCACTTAACCAATAAAAAAACACTCGCGGACCACCTAACTCCACAAATATAAAAAAACACATCGTTTTTCTAGAACAGATTACAAATCGCCTGAAAATGGTACAAACAAGTGGCAACATGTGTGATGAAGGTGTTGCGCTGGGCTATATCATGCAATCGAAAGTGAAACGTAACCTCACTCCATTGCGGAGATATTCCTGCGAGAGTGCGGAAAAAACTGAAATGTATTTATTTATTTCAAATGTGAAACCAATATACTCACGGACC